GAATAGAGTTAAAGATGGTTAACCTTATTTTGTTGGTGTCACTGTCAAATTAAGCAATCTATTTGATTAATTAGTGTTTCTAATGAATTATCATGTATTCTTAATCACATCTTATTGCATATAATTGAGAGTTTTAACCAATCAAAAATGTCCTTGTGTGTACAGTCTGGATAAACAAAAAAGACTTTTTGACCTTTCTTGATCGGTCACTCATTGGAATTCTGCTGGTAATTCTCTTCTAATTTAGCTAATTGTGAATTAATTATGTACATGTGAGACAAACTGGTATTTTTCCAAGTCATTAGAACACCCTCTATTCATATAATAATTAGCACTTTCATAAAAGAAAATAAGGGAACCCATCTTTAAAGGGATTGTAAAAAGGTTTATCAGGGACATTGATATCATTAATTTGCACCATTCCAATTTTCAAACAGACGTCTGTGGTTCTTGAAATTCCATTAAAACTAAGCGTTCGTTCACCTCACTATTGCAAAATATATTTAGATGATATAAGGGATGTTTGCGATTAGTGATGTCATCAAACACTTAGTGTTAGTGGAATTGCAAAAAAAAAAAACCAGACGTCTGATTAAAAATTTGAATGCTGCAAATCGATGCTATCAGTGTCCCAGATACATCTAAATAAGATTTTTAGAAAATCTCTTCACAATCACTTAAATCTTGTGAGATGTTAAAAAAGTTAGTGATTTTTGAATAGATTTGAATTAGGTCATTTTGGAGACATATCTGAAATATTTATCTAAAAAAAAATTAATTTTTTGCAGATAAAAATGTTTTCTTTAGATGTCTGCTTCCACTTCAATAGTAGTTTTTTAAAAATGTGAAGCGTTTTCTAGTACGAAAAGAGTCTAAGCTGTAGAGATTTCTTCTAGTAATACAAGATTATAACATGTACAACAGTTGTCAAAGATAACAATAACATTATCATATCAAACACTCCGAAACAGACATTTGTAATAACCAATTTACATGGCATTACTGTTGACATGGAAACCAAATCATCTTGATTCCATACAACTCCTGGGAATTATTATTTCATTTGGAAAGGGAAGGGAAAAAAACATTGCAACTGCTTGTATTTAATAACCAATATTATAACTATTATTAATTTTTTTTTATTTTAAAATGAAAATTCTTGAATTGATGATATATATGATGTCAAGTTTCCATACAGATCATTAAATTATTCCATTTTTATAACTTTTCACATTTTTTTTTTTTCAGTTTTGTAATTTTTTACAGTAAAATTGTATTCAAAAATTGAAAGTTTTTTTCCCAGAATTTTCAGTCTGACTCTAGTTTTTCTCAGAATTCTCTAGTTTTTCACAGAATTTTCAGTTTGACTCTAGTTTTTCTCAGAATTCTCTAGTTTTTCTCAGAATTTTCAGTTTGACTCTAGTTTTTCTCAGAATTTTCAGTTTGACTCTAGTTTTTCTCAGAATTTTCAGTTTGACTCTAGTTTTCCTCAAAATTTTCAGTTTCACTCTAGATTTTCTCAGAATTTTCAGTTTGACTCTATATAGTTTTTCTCAGAATTTTCAGTTTCACTCTAGATTTTCTCAGAATTTTCAGTTTGACTCTATATAGTTTTTCGCAGAATTTTAAGTTTGACTCTATATAGTTTTTCTCAGTAGTTTTTCTCAGAATTTTCAGTTTGACTCTAGTTTTTCTCAGAATATTCAGTTTGACTCTAGTTTTTTTCATAATTTTTGTCACAAAAAAAATATTGTGTTTCTTTTCCTTTTCTGTGCTTATTCAAGCTAAAACCAAACTATTCAAAAGGTTTACTTAAGGTTTTATGCGGAAAAAAATGCTTTATAACGTAATGACTTTCAATGACGTCATCAAACACTTAGTTTGAGTGGAATTGCAGGAATTATAGACGTCTGATTGAAAATTGGAATGGTGCAAATTGATGATATCAGCGTTCCCAGTACACATAAAAAATTAAGAAAACTTCTTTACAATCCGTTTAAAGATCAGTTTAGATAATGTCTAGCTTAGAAATTCATGACATAAAATTTGTTTTTTTGTTGGAAAATTGGAAACAAGCTGAAACGGTCATTAGTTTGACATTTCCTTTGATTTTAGTCAATAAATAACAATGTAGCAATTGACATTGATTGACAACGCTCAGTTATCATTGAATGTAATTAGGTAGTAATAAACGCAGGGTGCTGTAAGTCAGAAAGTTCCTTGTAAAATGGTAAAAAAGATTTGTTAATTTGTGTAAAATCTATAAAAATTAACTTGGTTAATTAACTCTATTATAAAAGGCAGACTTTTAAATCTGTAATCAAACATGGCAGCCAAATTAAAGGGATTGTAAGAGCTTGTGTAAACTTTTTACAGTATGCATATGGTGGCCATTTAATTTTCTTATTTGCATCATTCCAATTTTCGATCAAATGTCTGTGATTATATCACTATTGAAAACGCTGCTTATAATATTGAAGGGCATTTGCAAAATTGACGTTAAAAAAAATTTTTTGTAAGGGGAATTGCAAAAAAATTAGACATCTGATTGAAAATTGGAATGGTACAAATTGATGCTATCAGTGTCCCCGCTACACAATGTTTAGAAAACCTCTTTACAATCCCTTTAAGAAAAACAATTCCTACTGCAATCAGTTATAGTGTTACATGTATTCTAGAGAGACCAATTAACACATTAACCAATCAAGTCAAGGATAACAGTGAAGTACGATACATTTATAGCGCTGTTTGTATTTACTATTGATTGTCTCCCTTGATTTAATTTGATTTATGCCTTATTAAACATACAACTGATAAATCATTTAACATCCATGTTGGCTACATTCTATTAGTATCCACTACATCAAAACTTATAGTACCGGTAATTGTGAATGTTTATGTGACAAATTGTTTGAACTTTAAATAAAGAAAAGATAAGTCAGTCTCCAAAACTCACGAATAGATATGCTCTGTTGACAATCTCAGTTGCAGAGTATCACACAGAAATTTGTTTTAAGCTAAGCTAATTAGTAAAAATTTGAGACTTTAAATCGATGTTTGTCCAGAATTATCTACGTTTGAAAGTTAAAAAGACGAGTTGTCTTTTCCTGAGACTCTACCATATGTCTAATAGATACTGGATTGAAATAGGCTAAGTGACTTCCTAGTTGCAGGTATTTTTGAATGAATAATGCAATTTCCATGCAGTTTGAAGACTATTAACATGAATTGAAGACACAAATCAACCTCCAAAATAGGAAACCAATGCCAATGTCCAAATTGATGTTCCATAATGTGATGTCATAATTGAATATGAAATATAGTAATTATATGTCATATTACCATAAAAGAATTAAAAATGACTATTATGAAGATTAAATAAAATCATTATCCATCATAATTGACCATTAATCAGACTGGTGTGTCTTGTCTAGCTCTCACTGTGACAGTAGCTCTTATTATGATGATTTATTTTCTATCATTTAATCATAGTCTACATTTAGTATGATCATATTAATAAAGAGAATGAGTCAGACTTCAGTCCATTCAGGTTAAAAATTTCAAGTACTTATGATCCTAACCTCATTTTAAAGGGATTGCAAAGAGATTTTCTACATTTTTTATGTGAATCGGGGACACTGGTAGCATCAATTTGCACCATTTCAATTTTCAATCAGACATCTGTGGTTCCTGCAATTCAACTTTAAGATTAATTGTTTGATGTCACTAATTGTAGGAACTACAGACTTCTGATAGGAAATTGGAATGGTGCAAATTGATGCTATCAGTGTTCTCTGAAATACACATAAAAAATATTAGAAAACTTCTGTACATTCCCTTAAAATCCCAAAAATATATTGGCACTACAGTGCTATACAAACAGCTAATGAACTTTTATACCACCAATGCAGTGACGCAAACAAAAGGTGTATTCTGAGAAGCATTAGACACAGAAGACATCTTTTGTTCATGTCACAAAATCCTACCGTTGGAGAGGGCAGAAATTTGATTGGCTTGTGGTATCATCAAGAGACCCGTCTTAAGACCCTAACTGAAGTAGCTAAATTTAAAAAAAAAAAAGCTAATAAAAATTGAAACGAAAAGTTTAATTAGACTGAATCGCCTGAAGTATCTAGTAAGAATATGACGTCATTAATCTCGTCATGTTCTTGGTTAAACACAATATAATCGCTCATGTGTACTGTGAAAATTTGTTGATATTTCAAATTATTGATTGAAACTGTCTAGAAAGGAATATATTCAGTATAAAATAAAGATGAAATAGAAATAAAGTGATTCTCAGACAAGATAGGAACCACACTGGAATCGAATCTCTGTTCACTTTGAATGTTTTAATTTAAATTTTGTCTGTTTCTTCACATTTAATCAAAATAGAATTTTCAAATGCATTACAGTTTATTGAAGGAAAAGCTCATAAATTGTAATTCTCTGAAAGTAGCTGGATAATCTGGTCCCAAAATGTCTAAGGTCTAGCAGTACTTTGTAATTTTTGGTCAACCAGTGATCAGTTATCAGTTGACCACTTGAAGGGATCTGATGGCTCACTTTTATTACATTATTGTACATTACAAACCGTAGAAAAATGTCTAATACCTTGACTGCAATAACCACCCTTCTTGTATCACGGAAGTTTGTAAATGCAGCTATTAGATTTTGGGAGTCTGAAAGAAACAAGAATGGTGACTGTAGATTGTAGTCAAGGTAATAGACACAGTTTGTAATAGCTCAACATTGTGAAGATGATGTTGGTGATACAAGCAAACACAATAGGGAGTACTGAAGTGGCCTCTTGGACAACTATGAGTAACTGTGTTATATACATACCGTACATCAGTGATGGATTGAGATCCCTTGTTGACTGAGCTAACAACTGCCAACTTGTGGCGCCATTTTGGTAAAAAAAATAGGTCCAATGGTATGAAATGAATATCAGATTAATGTGGTTCTGTATGATAATTATTTGATCTTTCTATTTCCAGGAATATGAGCGAATGAATGTAGCTGATGCTTTAGAAACTAAGACATTTGAAGATGGTGATGCTATAATTCGGCAGGTAAGTTTGTTGGAATTCGAAGTGGGTTTCTCACTTTGGCATTTTACCCTGAACTTCCATTACCTTAAGAATTGTGACAAGGTTTTCTGAACTTTTTTATTTGTATCTTGGACACTGATATAGATATGGTTCCTGCAATTCCACTAAAACTAAGCATTTTATGTCATCACTATTGCAAAAGTTTGGACTGATTCAAGTTCACTAGACTTTCGCTCATACATGGATGTTAAGTGTAACCAAGCAAATGACACCATACAAGCTTCCAAGCTTCCAAATTGATACAATATACTCTGTATAATCCGACATAAATTGGGATCATAAAACATTGTCAGATTACTGAGAGTGTCAGTGACCCAGAGATCAGATTCTAGGATATCTTTCTAACAATAAGACAATAATAAAAGTCAGTTGTATAAGTATACATTTTTTTATTTGATTGTTCGTATTTTAAGTAACTGATATGTTTTTTAACGGAATTCATATTGTCAACAAATTTTTTTTAAAATTCTTCCGTACGTTTAAAAATGCTTGAACTTCTAATTGATATACCTGTATTTGTATTGCAGGGAGATGAAGCAGATTGTATGTATTTCTTACAAGAAGGTGAAGTTAGATTTACTGTTAAGGTTAGTAATATTGTTTGAAGAATTCATATCGCACTTACCTGAACTGATATTCATAATGAATTATGGAGAGTTTATCAGACCTACCTAGTTGATTTAAACCACCTGTTAGTTGATAGATACACCGCATATTGTAGATTACTTTAAATATTACCTTGAACTCGTTATACTAAAAGTTTATGATTTGAATTAACCAATATTTCTTCTTCAATCATGAGGAAGCTACGGTGGCTCAATGAGTTAGACACTTGCTCGCTAACCTGAAGGTCCGGGGTTCAATCCCGACATAGGTCTAGATAATACCTTCGGATTTTTCAACCTGGTTTCCCCCTGTCAGTGATGCAGGTAAGAGGGGCTGACATGGAAAAAGTGTCTAGTCGTTCGGATGGGACAATAAACCGAGGCCCCGTGTGCTACAGGCACGTTAAAGATCCCTCGACAGTTGGAAATCGAAAAAGAGCAGGCTAATGCCACTGTCTTAGCAAAATTTCCCTCATTGCACCCTGCATGGCGTTGCCCCTCTTCATCAGCCCACATGGTGCAGAAAGGTAGGAGGTTAAACTCCATTCATTTCATTTTATACTAACCTGAAGGTCTACGGTTCAATCCCAGCATAGTTCGAGATAATACCTTCTGATTTTTCAACTCGGTTTCCTACTGTCAATGATGCAGGTAAGGGGGGCTGATATGGAAAAACCTGACATTGCTAAATAGTTTGTCCTTAGTTTCCATTAATGCAAGGTTATGTTGTTAAAAGTTTATCTATTTTGTTTATTTATTTTAGAATGATAATAATGAAGAGAAAGAAGTCAATAAATGTAAACAAGGAGGTTATTTTGGAGGTATGCCCTTTTTTATGTCAGCTTTTATACATTTATAATAAATTGATAAATTTTCTTTGAGATCTATATCTAATTTCAGTTTTTTGATAAACAGTGGGATTTTTTTAGATATTGTTTTTATAAAAGATGTTATATAATATAAATTGTTTATTAAATTAGTTATTTCTACTAACATATTATATATAATAAAGTTACATAACTGGCAAATATAACCAAATCAACATCCCTCATTTGGACCTAATAATTACTAGTGAAACCTGTATCTCTATTTATAGAAGAAATCAATGAAAATGACAAACAAGGTTAATAAAGGAAAATGACCATCAGATGTAACATTCATAATGAATTCATTGAATGACCAAATAATACTATTACCACAATCTGAAACCTCCTGATTATCAAAATAGTTCTAATTTATCATCATTTAATTGATAAACTTGGCTTATCTGAGATATTTAATATGGAGGTCATATACAGGTCATATTAATTCCTTGATAAACAGAGTTAATAAATAAATAACTTGTTTTGATAAGGAATATTATTAAGCTTATATCAACAAAACTATTAGAGAAAATGATAATAAAATTTCCTCTTTTCTAATATTTTGGTGTTACATTTCAGAAATAGAGATTTAAACAACTGCTTATGTAATGTGATATTTATGAAATGAGATGCCAGATTTAATTTATCACATAATTATGAATAAATGCATAATTTCTTTAACTTCCTAACATTTTCTATATAGACTTAATTTTTTTGGTCAACCTTTTAGCACTATTCTTCAAAATGTCCTTGCATGTAAAAAATAAGATCTAGATAAACACCTTAATGTGACAATTGAATTGAAACATTTAATCAAAGTTACGTTATTTGGAACCCTTTCTTGCTCTTTACCTTCAATTTGAACTTCTTTGTTTCGTTTACATGAATACATGACCTTGCATAATTATTAACCTGTGCTATGGGTTCATATTGTTTTTATGAACCTGGGAACATTACTGTTGTGTGATAAATGTGTATTATGCATCACTTGTAATGAAATGGCTTATGAATATTCCTACTATATTTAAATAAATATTTAATTGGAATTAGATTGAGGACACATTCTGGTTTTTTGCCCAAATATAAACTTGAATTTAAAGTGTCACCTCAGAGCCACAGCCTTCTTGTGTTTTCAATTATGACAATTTTTAACATTTTTGCGGCTTGATAATGCAGTAGGTTTAATAAAAATTTAAGAGTTCTAGAAAAAGCCAGTAAAGAACAATTGAAAAAAGCTATAAAAACCCTTTGATTTCCGTCCAGAAACTTCTGTAAAATTTGAATCTGATTAAAAATTATTCAAAAATTATTATTATTACAAATCTGAATTTTGGGTTGAATTTTTTCTATTTTGGGATCTGATTATTAGATAATGATGTCATTGTATCTAAGACTAGCATCTAATTCTTTATTTTCAAATTGAATTTATTTTTGTAGACCATCTGCCAAAGTCTTGTAGATCATTATTTTCTTTTTCTGTTTTAGAATTAGCTTTGGTGACTCACAAACCTCGTGCTGCTACAGCTTATTGTGTTGGGCGAACGAAAGTTGCTGGTAAGTTCTTTTTTTCTGATTCAGTATTAAGTTATGATAACATGTGTACATAAGCGTAACTCAAACTCAAAATCAAAAAGCGATTATATGTGTACATAAGCGTAACTCAAACTCAAAGTCAAAAAGTGATTACATGTGTTCATAAGCCAAACTCAAGCTTAAGAAGTGATTACATGTGTAGGTAAGCATAACTCAAACTAAAAAAGTGATTACATGTGTATGTACGATATTTCCACAAAACTGTCAAGTGGTATTGGGTCCGTAAACAAAGGAGGAGAGGAAAGTCTCCTACGGTAAAGGAGATAAAGCTTCCGTCATCCGCAAATGCAATAAAATTACTGAGCCATCGGTTGCGCTGACAAAGGGATTGAGTTTGATTTCAGGGAAAAAAATATGGATTTGGATAGGATTTGCTCGTATACTTTTGAGTTTGCGTTTGAGTCTGCGTACACATGTAATTGCAACCTGAATCACATGTTCTTTGGGCTCATTCTTGAAATTTAACTGAAGATAAATAAAGTCTATTTAATTTTGTTTACTTTATCATATAGTATCTTCAGATCAGCAATTCATCTTTTCTTTGATTGGATTTAATAGTCTTTGCATTTGGTAGCAGGGCTCCTGATGCTAAAGTCAAAGATTCCAAAATGGAATAACAGGGGGCTAATGTTTTATTATTGTCTCTCTCTTTCAGTGTTGGCAGTTGATGCATTTGAGAGATTGATGGGTCCCTGTATGGATATCATGTCTAGAAATATTGATGAATATGAGGAGCAGTTAGTTCAAGTTTTTGGTTCTAAAGCAAATATAAGCGACCTTCGATGACCTTTCCCCCCATAAGTGCTTCCGAATTGTAATCCACATTTTGATTGGTCTTTTTAACTCTGTAGCAGAAACAAGCCCTCTTTTGATTGGATAGTTGAATTGCTGTCAATCAAATCCTGAAGTGTCAATGTTTGGATGTGTTCTTGTCTGTTAAAATCCCCCTTTCTACCTGGTCATTGAGTTGACATGTTCCCGCCCCCTTTTTTGATTGACGTGTTATTGTATGATAGTCTGCCACCGACTAAAATAAGGGCTGCAGAAAGACATGAAAATATTTTCGAGCCAGCATTCTGAAACTGAATATGGATCTTGATGGCTAAAGGGAGATAATTCACAATACGCTGCCAGTGGCTCATGAACGTTCTAGTACTGGAATAAATTGAAAAGTTTTCGAAAAAAAACAGTATTTAGACTAAGTTCAATTTTCAGAATTAAACAAAGTTAGAATTATAGTTCGAAAGTATGTCCTAAAGACTAAAATCACTGTAAGCCACATTGAGCTTCTATCAGATATGACTGGCCAATATAGCCTTAAATCAAGAGTCCTGATCTGCACAGTTTCTCCACAAGTTTAAAATTTAGCAGGGAATCTCTTTTACTTAACTTTTTTTTATCTTTTCACTTTTTTGATAAAATTCAGTAAACAAAGTATGCGCTAAATTTATAAATAGTATTTCGTTTTAAAATCTGTCTAAATAGAGTTTAGGATGCAAAAATCTTCAACAAAATACAAGTATAAGAAAGATTATTAATAAGTGCAAGTAAACCCAACTAGGTTTCAAGAAAGTTCAACAAAATTCTTAATGGTTTCATAAAGAAAAGCTAACTAAGGTTATTTTATTGCATTTATGTAGATAAAACAATTTTTATGGATAAATCCTTCTTACTTTATTACTTTCTAAATCGGGAATATATAATGAATTCAAAAATATTCCTGATGACAGTTTGAGAACCACATTAAAACGTTGAAAGTAATAAATATTCTAGAGGTATCTATCAATAATAATTACCTTTATCTATAACTTGTGCTTCTAATAAGCCATTAAAGGATTATTACAAATACTGATATGTTATTGAAGTAAAGTTAAAGGGATTGTAAAGAGGTTTTCTAAACTTTTTATGTGTATCAGGGACACTGATAGCATCAGTTTGCAATATCCCACTTTTTCAGTCAGATGTCTGTGGTTCCTGCAATTCCACTAAAACTAAATGTTTGATGATGTCACTAATTGTAATTAGAGATGCTATCAAATGCTTTGTTTTAATGAAATTACAAGAACCACACATGTCTGATAGAAAATTGGAATGGTGCTAATTCCAGTGTCCCAGATAAACATACAAAAATTAAAAAAAAACCTCTTTAAGTTATTAAGCTAAGGTTGCAGTGATAAACCTGATAAACTAGAAAGTTGATAAATTACTAAAAGACTCAAGGTGATAAATAGAAAATGGTCAAGCAATGTTGTAATTGTTATAGATTGTGAGCCCTTCTTTCCCTCCTTCATTTCTCAGATAATATTGATATTAAATAAGAGCTGAATTTTTTTAATTTGGGGCAGAACAAATTGTGATTTTGAATCGTAATAAATAAACCAAGTACTAACAATCAGAACTGCAAAATAAAACCTAAAATAAAACAACATTTTGGTGAAACATTAGTAGCAGCTAATGAACTTTTTACACTAGGAAGTATATCAATCATTCATGAAATATATAAAACTACTAATTCAAACTGCAAAATGAAACCTGAAATCTAAAGCAATGTTTTTGCAATATAGCTAATGAACTTGTCATACGAGGAGGTATATCGTTCATAAATGAGGAAGTATTTCATTATGAAAAGTGGTATCAGGAGTCTAGAAGAGTAAGCATACCCTGACTAGTTTCAAACTCGCTGATTAATATTACACACAAAATAGGGAGGGCAAAACAAAAGAGTCACTTGTTCAACTTCGAAATAAAGAAACATAAAGAAACTCTTCAACATTCAGTCGTAAGAAATTTAACTCAACAGTATGTTTAAATCAAAAAAATAAATTTGATTGATCCTAACCCATGTAATTGGTGTATTAATATTTCTGTGTTTTTTTTTGACAGTAAAGGCAAGTTTTAAGTAAATATCTCGAAAAAATTAAATAAATTAATAAAAATAATTAATAAAATTTAGAATTCCAGTCACTTGATTGGTCAATAAGTAAAATTTGTTTTTAAATGCTGTTTTTAAACCAATCAAATGGCTGTCAATTTTTAAGCCTGGATTATTTTGTTATTTTAAGCTTTTATGAAATAGGGCCTTGTTATCTGAAAACTGGAAAGAAATTTGTTCAACCCTTAGAAATAAAAAATGTTCTTACTAAAAAAAAAAACAAGCATAATGTTATGTTAACTATTATAAACTTTCTATTTTTCTGTTTATGCTGATATTACTTGTGTTTATGTTGTTTAGTTTTGTTTATTTATTTTTTATTTCTTTCCACTAGGGATATTATTATTCATGATTTATGTTAAATTGCTGAAAATACAACAGGGTAGGTCTCTTTGAATACAGCAGATCATTTTTGTCTGAAATTTGCAGACTCTTTTCATGCCTTTCTGGAACAGTAAGATCAGGAAAGCTCATCTCTTTTAAAAAGGTATCTTTTAGATATGGGGCTTTATTCTCCAAAACTTAACTTAAAAAAAATCCAGATTTTAAGAAATATAGTAATCTGATTGGATAACAAAACTAAATTAGATATCAATGTTAGTTATTGACCAATCAGATTACAGGATCACTAAAATCAAGTTAAATTTTCAAGTATAAGCCCCATGATCTTCAAAGAAATGAAAATTGCACAAATGAAATAAAAAAATTAGAGTTAAAACAAATCCTACATTCCTTTGTAAAGGGCTAAGGTTTTCTGATTCTTGCTGAAAAAAATCTGATAGAAACAACTATCAAAGGGTAGAAAAGAGTAAGCAAGTTTCCAATAAAACTTAAGAGTGTAACTAATATTTGATTAATCAAATTTTGTTTTTTAATGAAAAAATGAATCAGAATTTTCGGAGCTGGCAAATACAGTCAAATCAAAAGCCCTGATGTGATTTAATTGTACACAGTGTTTGTTTTAACTCTAATATCACTGTTGAATTTTCATACACAAAAATATGGGATTTATCTAATAATTAATTTCTTACAATAAACAATGCGAGATTCGGATTTATATTAAAACATAAAAAATTCAACACTTTTTTTTCATTTTCTTTTTATTGTCTATTGGATATAATAAAATTTCAAATTTTTAATATTTAGATGAATTACAAAAACTAAACAAATGTGACTTATTATCAATGAAGTATTTTACTTTTCTATTAAAAATTTTATCAATTTCAATTCAGTTTATAATGAATTAAATGCGAGATCTTCATAATGAAGTTAAGAAATGGATTTGTGTTTATATCTTTCAGGTATGAAATATTATTTTGTTAAATTAGCTCTTTATTAATTTGACAATGAGGTTATTAAATTAGTTAAGGCTAGATTAAGGCTGTAATGAGGGGGAGCAACTCATGTAAACATTGCTGAAGGGGAATAACTCTGGTTAACTCTGCTGTAAGGCATTAACTACTGTGAAATTAACTGAAGGGGAGTAAGTTTTGTGTACTCTTCTGTATTGACGGGAACTTTTGCTTATTGTAAAGGGAAGTAACTTGTGTGAAGGAGTGATTTTAAGATATTAAATTTAAACGAGATATAAGTTAATTAGTCAATGAATATAGTAAATTGTTAATTTTTGTTTGCTTCTATACGTTTTTGTTGCTATTATTTTATGTTTTGTTCTTATGTATTTCACTTTCCAGAATTTGATCTTTGCTCAAAATATTTCTTTTGAATTTAAATGAATTTTTTTTTTTTTTCATTAATTTATGTCAACAGCCACAGTGTGAATCTACCTGTAGCCCTTCTTAATTACAATTTATATCTCTTGACAACTCGAGGCATATCTTTCTAGAATTTTTTAAGATATTGATGAACTAAAAACAATTTGCCAAAATTTGATTTTAAATTTGATTATGATTCATAATGATAAATGTAAACCTCCAACAAAATCAAACACATTAGTTAAGTTCTGTATGGAGGTATTTTCTGTAAAGATTGCATCATTTTTCATTAATGTACCTTGTGTTTGGTTTTGTGGAAGGGTATTTAATATGAGGAATAATTTGGCCAGTTTTCTTGCCTTGATAATGAATGGAACCATGATTACTATTAAAGTAAGAAGTATTTTAGGACTAGTATTATAGGACTAGAGTGACTTTCACACCATAACATTCGTATCTACGGCAGCTATTCTCACTGACAATAACCTTGTATACAGATGGCGGATAAATTGAGACTACTTTAGTCCTCCATTGTTGACATCTGATTAGTATCTAACACCCAGATGTCTCCTGTCTACGAGAATAGAGTCTTCAAGGGAGATAACTAACATCTGACAAACTCGGAGGTAACTTCCTAACAATTAAAGAAGATTTTCTTCCGGCTACATACGAGGTAATTGTCAGACAATGGCCGCCATAGATATGAATGACATCATAGCGATAACTAGCTGTGTATAGATGGAATAAGAAAAGCTGTCATAAGATTTGAACAGAACTTTCATGAAACTGAGTGTGCATTCGGAACACATGGCCATTTTCATTTCTCGTAACCATACACAACTGGTCATCGCTTTGGTGTGAGGGCACCTTTAAGAAGTATTGTAGCAATAAGAAAGAAATTTCAAGCTCATTCTATAGTATTGTTGCTGTTATTTCAGTTTTAGGAAATTCGGTTTTATAAGTTGGTACATCATGCTGTTTAAGATACTGTCATCCATACAGGGCTGTTGATTTTAGAAATTACCTTCGTGAATGAAGATCTTTTTACTTATTCTCACAAGGAATGCAAGAAGAAATGCTCATAAATATAAAGATCTGAATTGCAGTCA